TCTGAAAGATGCATCATTTACATCATTTTTTTGTTTTACTCAAAATGCAGAACAGCACTGCTCGCTGTTCTTACAAACAATATGCTATGTGTTAGAAGTTGCGTGTTGCTTTTGCCAACCTCGACTTTTTGAACACCCCGTGCAATATTTTAAACTAAACCCACGGCTATCAGACAGCAAATAACTTCCTAAAACTCTGAGTTCCACCAGTATATGAGAAGAGAATTAAACCCATGGAGCCATGCTGAGCATGTGATCAAGACATGCGTTTTAACTGCTAGGTCAAAAACATGATCCCAGTTCTACTTAAGTCAATGAAAAAACTACCATTAGCAGGCAAATTATAGAATTGGGTCACAGTCCCAGAACTCCTACTGGAACAAAATTCCTATGGACTGCAGAGTTTCTGAATCAAGATGGAAAGATTTAGCCCTTCAGTTAAACACCATCACAAATACAAAGCAAGCTGGGGAGAAACAAAGAAGCATTTTTGAAAAGAGTGAGAGTCCTGCAAAAGATTTAATGCATTCAAACAGACAGATGTGAGAAGATAAGAAACCATTTAAAAACTACTAATTTTATGTTAGGCTACAGCCTCAGTGGATACAGCTTAAAGTAAAGGACAACATATAAGTGTTAACCTAGCTTGATGTTATAGAAAAGGGAAATTGCCTTGGAATTCACTAAGTAGACCTTTCCCCTTCCTTCTTCCTCTGTTGCAGAGCTACCCTGACAGACGGCAGAGAAGTGTGCCTGGAGCCCACTGCTCCCTGGGTGAAGCTGATCATCAAGGCAATTCTGGACAAGTGAGTCATTTGTTCTCACCGAGCACGGCGCATCAAAAAGCTGTATTCTAAATGAGCTAGCAAACACGCACAGCATAATGTTCAAAAATTCTGTCTCCTCAGGCAGTGACTGCTGTTTGTGTTCACTAACTGGGACAGACACTGTGATTGTTTTGGGCTTTAATTACCGCATTAGGTTCAGCCCTTTACTGTGCCACACACCCCACATGAATGCTGGCTACGCCTCTCGTAAGGCACAAGCGTATTGAAAACCTGCAGCTCAAGTGCTCAGGAAACCCAGGCATTAACCAACAGGTTTTCTCTTGCTTGCAGTAGTAGAAAGCAACATATTAGTTTTTCAAAACTAGTGGCATTGAGATAGGTGGGAAAAATCAGGCCCAAGAGGTGTGAAGCGAAGCATCAGCCTATGGAAGCCCACAGTTACTGAGCACTTGTGGGAAGTTCACAATGTGCCGGAGTTCCTTAGGTTCAGTAACAGCTTTTAAGGGGCTTAGACACAGCAGCACCCCTTAGCAGTGGGTTTCCTCTGCTTCCAGAGAGCAACGCCTGTTCCACGGACGAGTTCTAATTGCCTCCTTTTCCATTTTCTTTCTTTCCAGGGCAAACCCCAAACCTGAGACAGTTTCTTAAGATGAAGAAGAAAAATGTCCCAACTCTTCCAAGAAGGCAAAAATGGGAGAGATGCTCATGCAGCCTCAGGAAGCTCATCTCCTCCTGCCTCCTACATTCACACTTCTAACAGCATCTAGAGAGTATGGATTTCCCTGGTTTTGTGCTTAGTTGACAACTGTACTTAAGTCTTTTAAGGAGGTCTCATTACATGGGAGAGAAACCACTGACACCAGAAAAAAGTTGGCAGAAAAAAATGGCTTATGAAAGGAAATGGAGATGGTTCTGGAGTAATTTTTGCCAAAAACAGCTGGATCAGTACAGTGGACTCTCAGGAGAGCTCTCACTGAATG